TAAGTTCAGTGGAAACGACTGACTGAGGAATCGAGACGGCGGTGTTGGAACGTGTTGCTGAACGCTTGCTACGGTCAAGCTTTGTAGATTTAGGTACTAGTACACTGGGATCATCTATGTATCTCTTACACTTCCGAATGTTGTATCCTTCTTTTATAAATATGAGGGTAAAAGACGATTTGTAGTCGCATTCAAAACTGTGATCGGCTTGTGTTATCTCTCACCTTTGCCATTAACACAACTCAAGTGACTTTCGAGTCTTTGTTTCCTCGACAACTTTCGGCCACAAATCGTGCATTTGTAATACGATCGATTCTTGTCGATTATTTCTACATAGAGTGAGCTCACATCTTTATTTATATCACCAAGCTATCCATCTTCTAGAAGCAGAGAACCGGTCGGAGAAGTCAGAATAAAGTTGGGCGCTTCTCCTAACACTGCAATCGGCAAGCCAGCGGATTCACTTTGCTAGCCAATGACAAGTCCTAAAAGATCCATGTGATCATGCCCGTGATCGGAAACAAAGAAGACTCCATTTGGCGCTCATCTTTGAATGTACTTTTCATCGGTTGATCGCTTTTCTCAACTGTTTTGCTTAATATAACATTTCTAAAGATAGCTTTTATTGTGGTTCAATGGGAAAGCGAGAATAGCGTGAGTGTTGTAAAAGAGAAGAAAGTCATTGGCGCCGTGGAGTTAAAAGAAGGGACAACAGTTGACATATGGACCGGTACAAACAAGGGTCGAGTGGCCATCTGTAAAGCTACGATTTTGAAAGTTTGGGGTGAGTAAAAATTGCGATATTCGTTGTGATCAAAATCTTATAAAAGAATAGATGTAGCGGGTTGAATTAAGCTTACATAACGCTCGGCGCAACTGAAACTAGAATAATTCTGAGAATCGAATCGGTCACTTGCATGCCGCAGTTTCTTAAGCTTATGCTTTACAATGAAATAAACCTATCAATAAGGTTTCAAGATTCCTCTAGTCCCGTTTGGGAACATTCAAGATTCATAACAAACCTTAGTACATAAAGAAGCCCTCCTTGGTAAAAACAAAATAATGTATTCAGCCCTTTTTTAGTAAAATCCATGAGAGAGATGTACTAACTCTATAGTATAAAAGTCACTCAATATAACAGAGATTTCTCAATTTGAGAATCCAATGAATGCCCTTTTCCTCATAGCCATCTTAAAAGCCTGGTCTGAGCTTTAAACATACATATTTTAATATATTATTTTTTTTCAAATTCAGATGTCAAGGAATCCAGATACAAAATAGTCAAGGTTCTTGTTGACAACCTCATTCAAGGCCAACTCATTGTGAGTCCAGGAAAAAAAAAACAAACAGTACAAACAGCAGCTAAGTTTGCAGTTTAGGATAACTTCATTCTAATTTATTGTTACAGTTACAACAAGATTTTAATCAAAAAATCAATTTTATTTGTCTGTAATTAGCCCCTTCACTCCCAAGAATATAACTATATAAATATAACTTAAGACATTGTATTTTATGGAAAAGAATCAACAGATTTTATTCACAATTTGTGTCAAACAAAATTTAATGATTGATTAGAACTATTTTATATGAATAGCTGTAATTGAGGATTAATCCATATGAAGTTTTCAAGAAAAGAAAAATAAATCAAATTCCATCCTAATATTACCACACATTGATGTTAATAATTAATCAAAAATATTTTACATGTAAGCCTTAATTAAGCTTCTAAATAAATTTCATTGAATACTTGAATTTTAGCTGGGTTTTTTTAACTTAAAGTATTTATTTTATATCATTAGCCTCAAATTTTTGCTTAAAATTCCCAGTAATTCTTAAACATTCCTAAAAATTCCCAAAAATTCCCAGAAATTCCTGGGAATTTTTTAGATTTACAGCTTTTCAGGGAAAGTCATTGGTTCTCTGAGTTGGAAGTCCTAGGAATTCCTAGGAATTCCAAGTCCTGTTGGCTATAAACTTCGAATTTCTGGGAATTTCTGGGAATTTCTGGGAATTTCTAGGTTTTTAGAACCAGAGTTGTTATGGTTGGGAATTCCTAGGAATTCCTAGGAATTCCCAGTCCGAATTTAACGTGAAAACTCACACCTTTATTCCTAGGAATTCCAAAAGCCATTTCGCAAGGGTATCCACTATCAATGGGAGAAACCTACACTAATGCTAATCTAAAACTTTCCATGTAAATGCATACATTGTTCTGTTACCAGAAATGAAATGTTGCAATGTAGTGTAACATAAAATAATTGCCTCCTCGATGTGAGTTTTTTCTGTTAGTTTCTTTCATAGCAACCATTTTACAATTGGAAAAATGTGAAAAGGCCATTTTTTGAAAAATTGACCTTGGAGCCCTGCATGGATGTACCTTTCCAAACATCAATTCAACTTCCCAACGCGTCAGAATATCTCTTATTTTCCATGTTGAGTAAGTGACGAGACGCCATGTTGAAAACTATAACTGAAATAGTTAAACACGAGCAACGCTGATCTTCGAACCGTCGGCCATATTTGTTTATGTTCTTGAAAGGGAAATAAATTAGTTCTCAGGTCCTTTTCGGAATAAAAATATGCCAGGCATTGAATGCAAATTCAGTGGTCTTGCGCGAAAATTAAATTAAAGCAAATCAAAATTCTGACATCATGTCATCGCTCTGCCTCGAAAAATCCCAAAGATTTACTTGCAGGTCCTCTTTTCTTTTTATTTCATCAAATAGAAGATCTGCGGTGCTCAAATTGTATAACTCATGGTACGAAACACTCTTCTTTGCAGATCGAGCCGTGATCGCCGCCATATTGAATTCTCTTGATATTCTATTGTTCCGGAGTGTAATACGATATACCGCTGATAATTGTTAGCGGGCTCGAAATGTCCTTGATTCTGGCGATGACCTGCATTTGGACCAGACCTAGTGGGAAGAATTGAATAACCGTAAACTACAGCAACGGTTAACGTCTTTCTTATAGTAAGCAACACTTTCAAGCTTACCTTAATGACTTACAATTGAATTGCTCGTTTCCAAATATTACTGTAGGAGTCAATTAACTCACAGCTAAATTCTCCATTAGCCTTATCCTCGTCACAGGGGAGATAGACAGAGAAGCTCTTCCTAAAGTTGAGCTTAAGCGGAACCGTTCCTGAAATTTAGCACTGACAGGACCAGCTGAACTATCTGCATTAAAGGTGACTGTAATGTCATAGTTGAATTTTTTGAGACCACCAAGACCTAAACCTTTGGTCAGACTGTAGTGCCAGTTCAGCGTGACAAAAGATCCTTCATAAACCTTTACAGTGCCAGGGGAGAACACTTCCTTTGGATCTGATATTGTCTTAATCGGAGTAGGTTCAAACCATGTGACACTTCCGCCATCTGAAGGAGAATATTTTAGATCGCAGTTACATTACAATCATTCTTGCTTACGATTTCATCAAACGAAAAACAGCTTTCCTATGATTTTGAATTAGAATACCGTATACCGTTTAAAAGGCACCTCAATCTGCTACTGTCAACATAAAATCACCTAAATAAAGGATGAATCGATCGAGTTCTGATTCGAAAGAAGAAAGTATGAGGCTTTTTTTATGGACAAAATTTCGAACATGGATACATTAATGTTTTGTTCAATTACGTCATTGTTATGCGTTATAATACAAGTCTTAAAATAAAATAAATCAATTTCATCCGGAATACATCGATTTTGGATGTCATACATTGATGTTGTGCAGCATACATCGCTTTCCTGACTCATTCACTCGTGACCTTCTATAACTGTTCAATAAGAGCGGAAATAGAAATGACCGGAAGTCAGATTAAATAAGAGGCCCCGGGAACAACACTTTCAAAATGGCGGAAATAGAGGCAAATGATCAGTGAAGTTTGAAAAGCACTATGAAAGGTGCACGGATTTGGCTGCCCAACATCGAGGGGTTTTTTACGTCTTTGGGTAGGCTATTGGAAAGTGCAAAAGGGTAAAGGAACACTGCGTCCTACGACTCGGCTGAATTTTTTTAGTCGCCGTTTACGATAAAACGAAAGAACTCTTGTCACTTTGACTCTAAGAATAGAAGAAGCCTTCCCAAATGAAGTTGAGGTGATCTCTGATCTAAACGAACTTGTTTTTCTAATGAACGAACTTTCAAGGGACTTTGACAGAATTTTCGAGGACTCGGAACGTTCTACGATTACTGCACCATCGTCCCTAAACGATCGTCTTTCAACTGTAGCTAGGAACAGTTTACATTTTTGTATCATTGTTCATTAAATCCTCCGGCCAAGTCCTGCGACTGTGGCAATCTGAACCAGCTTAAGAATTATAAAACATATGGCTAAAACTGAATACCCCAGAAAAGCTAGAATAACTTACCAATTGTGAAGATCTCATAGAGAAGACCTCCGTAGCTCCGTAACACCTGTAAAACAAACGGGATGAGTTTAAGGAAATAAGAAATGCGAAAATGAGCATAACCACTCCTTTCTGAGGTGGCCTCACATCAAGAAAATACAAAGACCAGAATACAGTAGTGACCCAATAACTCTTCCCAGACCTGAAAACAGTTCATACAAAACCAATCTCATTAAGCCTAACTGCAGTGTTCGTGTTTTCCTTTTACTCACACATCACTCTCAACGGCAGTCCATTTTACGGTGAAACGCCCCTGAATAAGAAGCAAAAATACAAGGTGTTGGCATATTCCTTAAAAACTACCAATGCTCCAATCGGCGAGAACACTGTAATGAAGATTCTTGAAAACTGAACAGAACAAACTAAGCTTGCTTCCTTTAAGCGATCACTCCAGTGAGGCATCATCAGCCAAATAATCTGAGGCTTACAAGAACAATATGTCTTTGGTTAAAATCATTCATACCCTGGTTTTTCTTCGTAAATGTTGTCCTCTTGCACGTCTCTGGCCATTCCAAAGTCCGTCACTTTGCAATTTTCCTCTTCTCCAATCAACACATTACGAGCTGAAAGATCTCGATGAATAACCTTCAACAAAGCCAGCACGTTTCTTTTGGAAAACGCCCTCTAACGAATTAAAAGACAGCTAACATGGGATGACATTCTAGGCAATGCGTAGTCCATGCGTGAATGAAAAGTGAGGTATATTGAAAGACAGAAAGGGGCTTATTCTATCACGACGTCAATCAAAGAATAATTACATCACTCACTGGATCGATGACAAATAGGACATTCCATCAGCGATTGCCAAGCAAACTTTATCAGCTGCTGAGAGGTAAGATTTGCTTGTGGTTTGATATCCGGGTTTTTGTAATAAGAATCATTCCTCAGGTAACCCAGAAGATCTCCAAAAGGAACATATTCCATCAACGCCAATAGTGGCTCCACGAAAACAAACTAGGTAATGCCAATACTCGATTAAACGACGCATTTGGAAGATTAACTACCAATAAACGTCACTCTCCAATAAATGGCGCAGCCATTTAGAGGAGTAGGACGCTTATTTAACTTTTATAAGAAAATAAGATATCAGTTACCGTACGACTCGTTAATATTCAAAATCCTTGTAATTTTTTTTAAAGCACGTTGGCCACGACTTTCTAAAACTGGAAAATGAATTATGAGGAGGTAAGATGTCCATACTGCCCATCAAACCTTTTATTATGGCAAGTCATCTTCCACCTCTGTGGACTACTACCGGAAAGCCTCCGACCCTCTACATTTATATCTGAGAGCCTTGAATGGCCTGTTTATATCTAAGTGGCTCATATGTGCAATATGCGTGCAAAAAATATGCAGAAAAGTATTGTTTCAGCTCATTTGTGATCCATCATTAAAGTTTGCCGATCTTAGATCTCAGCTATTGAGTATACACACGCTGCTATTCAGCGGACTGTATATAACTGTGACGATTTCTCTGCTGTCAGATAAGCCCTATCCAGACCTGACAAGTGCGCGCAAGAATAAAATAAGGCTAAGCTTTCTGCGTCGGTCAATTGATTTTCCCAGAAGTTAGCCTAGTTTAACTTAGACTCCGAGCACTGTGCGGAACTCATCCCAGCATCCCAGGAGTATGATAACGTAAGGATGAGGTTTAAGTTGTTTCATCAATTCAAGTTCAGACAGAGAATCCCTTTTCTATGATTCAGAAGCGTTTTCTGCAACAGGATTTGCAATCAATCATCGTCAAATAACATTTCAAATGAATCACAATAATTTATATATACATTTAGATAGATTGATAGATAGATAAATGGATAAATATCATTCATTTATGCCATACATCATATCTGTGGTACTTTTTCTCAACGTAAAGCGTCGGGGCTCTAAAATGTAGCCATCATTTGAGGAGGAATATTCATATTACAACTTAAAATTCCATCGCTAGAACCAAATCAAAGATTCACTGTTGACTGCTTCAAGCTATGGAGGTAATTGTGACTATGGAGGTAACTAAAAAAAAAAAGAAAAACAAAATTGTTTAAAAGAAAACAGAAAAGTCTGGATAGACTTCTGAGTCTTACCAAAGACCATTAAATACAACATAATTTCAGTATTCCTTTTAACATTTTAACAGTTACGAACGTCTTCTTGGCTCTTCCTCGTAGGTTATCGGCTGTTTTTTTGGCAACTTGACCTAAAGCATCTTTTCTAAAGATCTGCTTTATTGTCATATCTTTCATAGGAATCTCCCAGGAGCATGTGCATGGATCAAGAGAAGCATGCCCGCTGATTTGTTCAATGTTGAGCGGACTGGCATCTGCTTTCACTTGTGAACGAGTTCTGTCATCCAGTGCCATGTAGTAGCTTTGAGAAGGTTTCGGCAATTCGACTGCAATCTTAGAGAAAAAAATATTTTTTCAGTTTAATTAAAGATGATAAACAACCCAAATTGCGCGGCAACTGTTTCAAACCTTTAAACCAGCTGTTATGAGAAATACACTAGTATGACTTATTTAAACATATCGAGGAGTAATCGACTTATTTTGCCTATGGATTATAACTTTCTGGGTTCTGGTAAACTGTCAACCATAATAGAAAGACTACAGGAAGATATATCTATACAAAGGTAAAAGATTACATCGTTTGATCTACATTCCTACTTTCTCTTCTTTTATTTTTTGAATTTCCAAATGTTCTGAGACAGGAACACAAATATATTTTAAAAGAAAACCGATCCTCTCAGCCTGAAAATTCCAAAATAACAGAAAAACTTTTCAGAGAGCTTAGCCCGGTTAGGATCGCAGCTGGTCTATGCAATTTTGAGAATCAAAAAATTAATAAATAACGTAGAAAATAATACTCATTTTAGTGTTGGAGTGTTCACCTTATTTCTCTTTCTTCAAATTCCGAGGTCTTTGATTTTAAGATTTAATCTTTGACAGGCAATTTTTTATTTCTCCTTGTTTCGCATGTTTTACATTACTCCATCAAGCGCTAAGTGCCCACAGTCGTTTACTTAAATAATTTTCAAACAACTTTGTGCTGAACATAAATCATCAAATGTTCTTAGAAGAATAAAGCAACAATAGTTCTTCTCAACTGTTAGATAGAAAACGAACTCGAGAACCAGAAATGTCAAAATAGCATACTTGTCGTTAACACGCATGGATCAAATTCGGCGCTTTTTTTCAAAGATTTTTTTTTAGAAGTTTGCATAAAAAACGCTTACCTAAGGCTTAATTACAAAGAGAAAAACAAAAACAGCTATTGAACACTTAGCGTCTAACCTTTTATTGGAAAAGAAAAGCTGCATTTGTTGTGAAAAACGAGGAAGACCGTGTTCTTGTGGTTGGCTAGCCAAAACATGAGTAGGAAAGTGACTTTTGCTACTTTTCGTAAAGCAATCGGCTCGACAATTGTTTACGATTTGATGAAAAACTAACAGCGGGAACAATTAAAATTACTCGGCTGAATGATTTCATTCAATTACCTTTGCAGACGAGAATAATCTTAGGGCTTTTCCAGTGAATAAAATTCGTCGAATTCACCACAGCATATATCTTTAGTTTCACTCATTAAAAAGAAAGCTCGCGATCACCAAAAAACACTGCTTTTCTACTTCTCGATGCAGTAGACCGAGACGTTTGTTTCCAATCGCTAGCAGAAGAAAAAAGTGATGTGCGAATGGAAAACAATAAATCTGACTTGGCCCGGCGAAGAAAGGTATGAATCGCAGCATCAAAATTTGAGAACATGTTCATAAGGAAATTTGATACACAAAGAATACTTTCTTGTATTGGTTTAGTAGCCTGCCTGTCGAAAGTATTATGCAGTGTTGGACGGTAACCATCATTCTGGATCTTTCTGTGACTTTTTGGAAGCTATCAAGAAAACTCACAAAGTGAGTCCTAAAACATCTCAAGATCTTTTAGAGTTTTACTTAGCTGAACAAATTTTGATTAAAATGACTGATATTGTCTTATCATACACGGAATTAAAAAAAAAAAAAAAAAAAGATTAAGAGTTTCCAAGAACATACGGACTCACATTTCGGTAAAAAGTAATTGTCCTTTCAGACGACTTTAGTCTGAAACTCAGGGAGCAGGTTCGCATGTCAGCGAATGGAAGATTTTGATCAGAAACGAAACGATGAGGTAGAAAAATTGTTACAAAGAAAATTCAAATATTTAATGATCAAATACAGAAATTTAACATGAAAAACTCCATTTGAAGCCAGTTTTTTCTGAATGCCGGGAACTAATGGCCTAACGAGAGGGAAACTGTTTACAATTATATTGTCCGGCGGGTGCTTTACCGGGGTAGCCACCTACTTCAAATCTCATTGAAAGCACTGTTAAGTTATTGGAAGTTTCAATGCTACCAGTTAAAAGCAGTAAAGAAAAGGATCATGTGCTTAAAAGGGTCTCCTGTGACCGGGGAAAAACATACTTTTTTCGTAGACGCCTTCTAAATGTACAGCAAATGATAACGGTGTCATGATCAGATTAACTGAAATTTCTTTATGAAGGCTTTACAAATTTGTCGACCACATAGACTACGGTTACTTTCGCTGTCGCTATGAACCTGTCTATGTAAAATAATACGTTTGGAGCATTAGCAATAGCAACAGTAATAATAGTAATAATAATAATAATAGTAATAATAATAGTAATAATAATAATAATAGTAATAATAATAATAATAGTAATAATAATAATAATAGTAATAATAATAATAATAGTAATAATAATAATAATAATAGTAATAATAATAATAGTAATAATAATAATATTACTACTGATAATGATAATAATAACCCTTTATTCACCAGTCATAAAGTGAGATCGCTAAGGGGAGATTGCTCCACCAACAGGGGACACCTAGAAAATTATTAGTTAGCCTGAAGTAACATGCAGCGATCCTTCATTATACGAGAAAAGTAAATACACTTGTAGATGCTGTTCTTGTTTCTTTTTTTCGTACGGATCGTTAAAATGTTGATTATTTTACAAGTGACAACCATTACAACCATCGTGGTGATATCTCTCCTGCGCAAGAGTGACTGTGAGCTAGCAAGTGTTCTACATGATCTATCATCAAATTTTCACATGAAAAACAGTATGAGTGTTTAATTGTTAAACAGACTGGACCATAAGGAATAACGCATAAACAGCACCATTTCGATACAGAAATCTCACCTTCCGTTCATCGCCACCTCTGTGGTGAAAAAACAAAAGAAAACAAAGAAGCATAGAAAGCAAACGAAAACAAAACAAATAATGGATGAACCATCAAATAAGATTCATCTCGCACAAGCAAAGTTCAGTCTGTTTGATGCGTATCAAGTTTAGTCATGAAGTAAACAATGTCAAGCGCGATCTTTTAATTATCACTAGCTAACAGCAAATTAAATGACAAAACGTTAATAATCAGTTCACAATACACTAATGTAAAAGTTATATGTTGAAAATAAAGATGATTAAGCAAAGGTTATCATGCAATAAATAGTGAACTGAAGCTATTACCTAGTCTTAAAAAAAAGGAAAAATATTACAGATATATTTCTGAAATTCCAAAACTGCAGTTCATTTGAGAGCATAACATGTATAAAACACTTACCTCCAGTGCCTTTCGTGCTGCGCCTCTTTTGCCTGCAAGTCTACCAAACTAATATTCCAGCAACAGCCACTGGAGCAACTGATTCAAACATTGCACCAACTTTAATACATAGAGTACGTACCTACAAAGAGTGATACGCTTGAGATAAATTTTTGTCAGTGAAAGCGTATCTTCTCAAGCCAAACAACTTGGTCGAACCTCAGTTGTTTTGAGTTGCATTTTTTCACAAAGGAACCCTTTAATCACAAAGATTGTAATTAAAGGTTGCGGTGGACATTTAGTTGCAAACGAAAGTACAAACCTTAAACGCGATAGTTAATGTAACGATAGGCATTGTTTGCTAGTAGCCTCGTTTCAGTGTCAACTTAACGCGGCTTCCAGTAGCATACAAAAGCAAGAATTGTATCTGTCCGCGATTTTCTCCGTAACTAAACGTAGTGTCAGGAGTGAGTACGGGATGGACCGAAACTGTTCGAAACAAGCTTACAATGCCGACGGACGGAAAACAGCCGAGTGCAAATGAGGGAGCGACTGACAGTATTACACAGCTCAAACCTCCTGCTCAGTTAGACTTCGATACGACATACTTGGCTGACACTTAGATAAGATGGAAGCAAGAATTAGAATTATAAATGGATTTGGCAATGAACGAAGGCGACGAAGACAGGGCGACGAAAGTAAAATTTATGTATTTCTGTATTTAATCGGCGGTCAAGGGAGGGAAATTTATGATACGATGGCCTTCGCAGTTCCCGCGTCGCAAAGAACTTTAGCCCAGGTGTAATCCGAGAAAAAATGAAACTGTTGAAAGCTTCAAGTATTTCTCCTGTATTTAGGACCCAGGTGAATCATAAGAAAAGTTTATTACAGATTTGAAGCTGTTAGCGACGACCTTTAACTTCGGTGATCTTAAAGATTTGCTGGTGAGAGACCAGATCATTTGTGGAACCCAGGACCAGCAGCTTCGAGAAGAACTGCTTTAGATTCCAGTATTTTATTTACAAAGATGTTTCAACGTTTGTGGAGCGGCCGGACTAAACGGACACGGACTAAAACTTTGGAAGAGGGCGAGGCGGTAGACTTACTGAACGGGCAAACGAAGCGCGTCAAGGTGTCTGTTAGCAAAAGCATGGCAATTCTGCTAACAAAAGGCGCGAAAATGATGACCAGGACGCGAAAGATTCCAGACACAAAGAAGTACTGAAATGGAAATTCTTTGGCAGAAAACATCGTGCTGCCAAGTAAAGTTGCTCAGCGTTCGGTTTGCGGAAAAATGAATCATTTCGCTTCTCATTGCTTTACTAAAACGAGAGGATACGTCGTCGAATCAGATAGTGAAAGCGAACTCAATGAATACTGCCTCATGCTTCGCTCGGTGGATGAAAGTGAAGTAATTAGGATTTATGCAGCGAGCGATCAGGAATATGCCAAAAAGTTGTTTGTTACAATCAACGTCGGAAATACACTAGTCAAGTTTCAACTGAATAGTGGCGCGACATGGAATTTGATTCCCGCAAAGTTTCTTCGACCTGAAGTCGAACTGTTTAATTTCCTACGCGGAAATTACCCACAATGTACAACAACAAAATCATGAGACCTCTTGAAAAGTGCACTGTAGCAGTATCTAACCCTAAGAAAACCAAAACGTATCGGATCGAATTTGTTGTTGTGGACGATGACTAGTCGACGCCGATTTTAGGAAATCCAACGATGCAGCAGATGGCTTTTTTCAGGGTGCAACATCAAAACGTTATGGCCGTCAATACTGTGGTTCAACGCAGTAGTCAGTGCCTCTTTCAATTAAAGAAGTCTTAAGCTCTGGCTATAAAAAGGGATCCACCATGTACCAGGCCGACACCCTAGGTGGAGCTTATTTACCCTACAATGGAAGCTAGGAAGTCCCTTCAGAGATTAAGAGCATCAACATGACACAGCACATCCATTTAAGCAAGTTCCCTTCAAGAAATTAAAGACCACAGGCAGAAGGATAACAGCCTTCTAGAGCTGATCAAAGTCATTAAGGCTGGTTGGCCTGAAACTCAAGGGGAGTTGTTTCATCTAGTGTTGCCTTTCTTTGACGTTATGATGAGTTGAGCGTCTACGACGGCATAGTCATTAGAGGAGAAAAAGTGGTGGTTCCAAAGTCGCCGCGTCGAGACATGTTGTATCGTCTCCATTATGCTCATATAGGGGTTGTAAGCAACCTTTCCCTAGCAAGAGAAGGCATATAATGGCCAGGAATGAGCAGTGAAATCAGCCGCGAGCGGAAAACTTTTTGTATGTAACGAGTTCGCCAACTTCTCCGCAAAGCAATGGAAAGGTAGAAGCGGCTGTTCACTTAGCTAAAACTGCTATGAGGAAGTCAAGAAGGCAAGAACAGATCCATATCTCGCCCTCCTTGAACACAGAAACACGCATAGTCAGAGAGTGGGCACCACTACAGTGCAGCTGTTGATGAGCAGACGGACAAAAGCACAACCAGCCATCATTCCTCAGCCTCTCAGGCCAGTTTTCCAGCCCAAGATCTATCAGAAGCTTCTCGCTAAGAAGGAACAACAAGTCCTTGCATACAAAAGGGGGGCCAAGGATTTGGGAGCGCTTAGAAGTGGAGATACAGTACGACTTGTGCCGCCTGGAAATTCGAGTAAAGAAGCTGTGAAAGCAAAGGTTGAAAGGTGCGTTTGAACTCGGTCCCTCGAGGTGTTTACCGAAGATGGAGCCAAATATCGTCGAGATCGCCGTTACTTGAGGAAAACAAAGGCCTGCCAGAGTCCGACACCTGGTTTAGTGGCTGAGAGGGCGCTTTGCAATCGGATCAACACTCGATATCCTTGCCTGAACAAGCACAGACTAGTCATGAGCTCTCCGTGATGCGTATGCAGACAAACATAGCCAATGGTCAAGCGGATGCGACCAATGAGCATGCGATGGTATCTAGGCTACCGGAGCCACAAGTTCAGCATATTGGGTTACCTGTGCAAGGCCTAACCATGCGTTCGGGCAGAGTTGTTATAATGTATTACCTGCTTTCGTCCCACTTGGCAGCTCTAACGATTTCCCAAAAAATACGCTCGATTAATTCTAGGACAACTAGCATAGCTCCTTTTCTTTAGAATTTTGAAGGCCACAAATATTTTCCTTTTAACCCTCTTAGAAAACCAAAATGTAAACTAGCCATTGGTTACATGTTTTCATGAAAATATCAACTGCTAACTCAGCAAAATGCACAGCAAAAGCGCCTGCACGGTGAAACGAAGCGTACTGTCCATTTATAATGGTAATAGGACCGAGTGGAGTCCAATTCGGTCTGTAATCATAAGAGTGGTTAACAAAATCGGACGAATGCGAAGCGGAGTCCGATTTGTTTATCACGAGTATGATTACAGACAGAGTTGGACGACAAGAAATTCTGTTACCAGTTAATCAAAACCATTTCAATTTCCGAAAAAACGAATACACCTAGAACACATATCTCCAGTGGAGACAATGTCTTTAGTTAAAAATTCCTCCATTGTGGAAATTGCCTTGTTCTTTTTGGATAAGTAGTTGTTGCTATGGTTATTGTGATCAACTCCGTGATTGGTGGATTAAGCTGAGTGGACCTATTATGATTGGCTGCTTCAACCGATTACACTGTCCGACTACAACTGTACAGAATGATTAGTGGAAAATGAAGCAGCTGATGTACTAATCGCATTTGAGGAAATTGTAATGGTTATGATTAACACAGGCATGACGCATACACTGTCCTAGTACAATGTCCAATTACGAGCATGACGCGTATACTGTCTTACTATCTTTCAAATCGGGCTGGTGTTAGCCAGTCACGTTCGACAATTTACTTGTAGTTTTGATTATAACTGTTATTTTGAATGTGGTTGTTGTTGGCATTGTTACCTTATCATTTTGCACCAAACCTATTACAGTATCAATTCTGTGTTAAATTTGAAAAAAACTATTGCTTCCAACCAAGTGCAGGGCAAAAACATTCATTAATCAACTTGTAAAACGTTTATATTGAGTGTCTGAGGACTTACCCCCCTTGGACCCGTCAAGTGGTGATGTGGCACCTCCATCTGTTGGTTCCACATCAGGTCCTTTCCCTTTTATGGCACCAACACTGAACTCTCCCAGCTTTCAATATTTCACGGCCTTATTAAGTGTTATGATAAAATATTCTTCCTTTTTAGTAGAGTTGAATTTCAGCGCAAGGTCAACAATGATATTTCCACACCTTGGAACAGACAACAACCGAGGGTTAGACAGACATTACCAAAAAAAAGTTAAAAAAATTAACAAGTAAATAAAATTTGGAAACGTGAGCAATTTAATTAACATACCTAACACTCATTGACTGCACTCAACCATAATGAATTTTATCAGCAAATGCTCCTATAAGCTGTATGTAAACATTTCAATTAGTTGTCTAAAAATGTTAGTGTATATGTATCACACAAGTATTGTTTATGTTCATGTACATAAGCACAAAGGAGGCTGACATTAAATATTATTTATAAATTATAATTTAAATGAATATGACTGTTTTGCTAAGAATTAGCCGAGAATAAGTCTATGAGAATTAATCAGTCTGTTCCTTTGAAAATGCTACTTCGATGAAAAAATTGTTCTTCTTGTAACATGCTATATATCTTATTTGTGGCAAAAAAGCACCCAGCCAATTATAGCCCTAAATACAAAGCATGAGCAAACACTGAATAATAAGAAGATTATGAAAAGCCTTTTAAGCTCAAGGTTTGATAGAACTCGAGACTGAATGCGCTCTAGAAACATAGGAAACATAGAATTAAACAAAGCATTCTTCACAAATTCTCCAGAAGCTGAATTTCCTTCCAATCAATATACAGTCGGCACATCAGTCTCTGACCCTGAACTAAAAATAAATGAATAAATAAATATTGAATAAGAAACCGAGTGTAGGCTATGTTTTATTAAAGATAGTTACCTCTTTTTCCAATTTCCTCAGTAACAAGGGTTTTTTGTACCTTTCGTCTGTGCAGTTTTCACTTGTGATGGCAATGGTTATGTTAATCACGTTTCCTGCAATTTTTGTGGAATGGAATAATGGCTCTATAATCTATCTTTCTCTACACATGTACAATCCAATTATGTCATAAGAACCAAACATGTCAGTAATTTACAATTACCAAAATGCTGAAAAATCTTTCACAATGCTAATAGTTTTTCTCAAAATATTTCTTTATACAGGTATTCCTTTTGATAAGTCCCTGGTTTAACTCCTAGAACCCAATCAAAATGTCATGTTAGTACAAGTATGAGGCTTCAGCTGTATAAGCAGGACTACAATGCAACTTACAAACAATGGCAGTTTTTGTATCAGGTCCATGTACATTGGCCGCTCTGGAGGTGTAGCTGGCATTGTCGAGCACTTGGGAAATATCAAGAGTATTCTTGTTGCAAACTTGTTCTGGGTCACATGGAATTCAAGAGTAAGCAGGTGGAGGTTTCCCTCTGATTCACAGTTAAGATTTAAACTTTGTTGTACACCATCAATATACTCAGTTTGAAATTTAAGGCAAGCACTATATAGCTTCACACGAAACTTAATGTTTATGTTAAGAGAGGCAAGCTAAAACCTCTGGGTACCTGGATGACCAAGCCACTAACATCAATACAAGTGAATGAGAGTACGTCTTAAAACACAAAAGATATATGGAAAGTGCATCTCTGTTTAGCACTATAATTAAAGTTGTTTTCAGTGTATAAATTTGATACTCTCAAGTAACATTCATATAAAATGCTTCGCTATCTGGTTTACCGGGGTGCATTGACTAGCGGTGTTAAAAACGGCCTAAAACTTATTGAAGGCTATCGATTTAAATTACTTAAAAGCCTAATGAAATTACGGAAAATATGTCTTACGTGTATCATTTTGTGATGAATCGAGAGTGGAATGAAAAACTATAAATCCGTCCGAATAAACTCCTGAACAGCCAGTGCTGAAGAGTTCTATCACAACGAAGGGCTGGAAATTAAAGTGACAAGAGCTCCGCTTAGGCTTGGCTAGATCTATGTGTTGGAAATGACATTGATGCCCAAAGATGAGTATATTGAACCCGATGAGGACATCACCGGGAAAGGCCGAATAGCCTCATACTATCATGAAATAAATCTGCAGTCCCAAAGGCAAGCTATTGTTTTCTCGGTTGTTTTCTTAATCCAAGAATGAAATATGAAGCTGTGCGGAAGTCTTGCCTGGTTATTGAACCTCAAGCAGACCACACTATGCGTTCGCGGTTTTAATGTCGACATGAGACGAGCAAAATATTGGAGGGTTATGAATAAAGCTCTTAAAATTGCATACATTCTTCACATCTCGGTCTGAATGCCTCACTATAGTTAAATCAAATATCTATCGATGCATTTTTGATATTTTTTGGACTTCACGGGCCGTTTGAAGTGTCTTTTCACGAAATTACTTTTTACTTTTTAAAAAAATATATGAATACATATACAAAAATATATGAAAGTTGCACTTTGCCTCGCTTCGCTGTCAAACAGCTTGTTTGGAAGTGTTGCTTAATTAGCAAAAGATATGGGTAAATGTTAAATATAAAAGGAAAATAGAAGATGATGTCCTTGGGCTGTAATCGCTCACAAGGTGAGATCGTCAACATTAACGTAGAGTCCATCATCGTAGTTCTTTAAATTTATCAGCCTCTGTAAAAAAAAGAAATAAGAGAAAATATGAAAAACGGGTATAAATTATATTATAGTCTGTTAAGCTTTCAAGGGTTCCTTAATTTTTTTACCTGGAAAGAGAATATATTGCTGATACAATTAATTTTAGATGGAGAAGTCTTAAATTGATTGTCAAAAATCTAACCCTAACCCTAGAAAGACTAAACCCAAAGTATTCGCAACCATCAATCAGAACAAAGGTTAACATCAGCATTAACCAATAAGAACTCAAACTACTCAAAGTTCTTCGGGTTCGTTCCTCAAATTTTTAAAAGATGGTCTGAAGTTAGGGTCGTCTTTCCAACACTTTGTCATTATGCCATACCCGAAAAGGACGTCAAAAAAAATCTAATTAGAAACAGTTCGACCTATCCATAATGACCCAGTTCTTTCGTTTAAAAATTCCATCTTTTTATCAGTAACGGACAAAAGATTTACACAACAGAGATGAGCTTGTGATGATGTACTTTTTCGTTCATTTCCCTTCGTTAGGCCGGTTCAACAAGTAAGGATGGTTAAATCTTAAGGCCCACATTCAACTCGAATAAAGAGCAGGACAAATACAACTGTACGATAAAAGCCACCAGGAAAACAACAAGAACACGACATAAACATACAACTTATCATCCACACGTTGCGGTTTAGGCATTCTGTATCCTTCTTGAGGTAAGTTTGCAAGCTTTTTTACCTGAATTGAGCAGGTAATGTGAACATACTCTAAAATAAAAGGCTCCACAGATGTATTTCGATTATTAATTTTTTTTCCGGATAAGTCCGGCGACTGTGTCAATCTAAACCGGCTTGGTATGAACAAAAGACAATTCTACAGAGGCTGGTACACCCTGCTTACTTCATTACCTCCTGTCCCCACAATTTCTGAGGCTTAAGGTTACTGGACTGGTCATGTGCCTAGTAACTTACCAATCGTGAAAATCTCATAGAGGAGAACTCCGTAGCTCCACCTGTAAATCCAACAAAATAAATTTGTGGAAGTGGAATTTCTTCCCAGCAAAAAATGTAATTAAAACATCTTCGGTGGTAAAGGGAAGGGGAGATGGGGTAGGGAGGGACACAGTCACTACCCATAAAAAATGAGGATAACCACTCCTCGCTGTGAGGACCTCACGCCAGAAAAATCAGAAATAACTTTTGGCACACCTAAAAACAGTTCATACAAAACCATTCCCATCAAGCCTAACTCCAGTGTTCTTGTCTTATTTATACTCGCACATCACTCCTGGTAGAATATTTTCCGTAAAGCAAAGCCTCAATGGCAGTCCATTTTACGGGCTGACACCCCTGAATAAGATGCAAAAATACAAGGAGTTGGCGTAATCCTTAAGAAGTACTAATGCTTCAAATGGCAAGAAAACTATAACGAAAGTTCCTGAAAACTGAGCAGGATTTACTGAGCTTGTTTTCTTTGAGCAGTTAATCCAATGACGCATCTTCAGCCACACAATCCAAGGCTTACGAGAACACCGTCTTTTCTTAAAATCATTCATACCGTTGTTTTTTTTTTCGTAAATGTTTTCCTCTTGCACATTTCTGGCCATTCCAAAGTCCGTCACTTTGCACATTTCCCCTTCTCCAACCAACACATTACGAGCTGCAAGATCTCTATGAATAACCTTAGACATAGAGAAAATGTTTCTTTTGGAAAACAACCTTTAACGAAACGAGAGACTTGAGGGTGACTCAGTGACATAGGATGACATCCTAGGCAATAAGTCCACAATTCAATAGAAAGTGAGGTATATTGAGTGAAAAATGAGGCCTTATTCTGTAAGGATGTTACTCAAAGAATAACTACATCACTCACTGGTATCGATGACAAATAGGACATTCCATCAGCGATTTGCCAAGCAAACTTCATAAGCTGCTGTGAGGTCAGATTTGTTTGTGGTTTGATATCCGAGTCTCTGTAGTAAGTATCATTTAATCCACTGCTGTTACTCAGGTAACCCAGCAGATCACCAAAAGGAACAATTCGTTCAGCACAAACAGTGGCTCTAGGGAGACAAACAAAGTTCCGCAAATACTCGCTTACATGCCACAGATGGAATCAAAATTACAAAGAAACGTCACTCTCCAATATGAGCCACAGTTACTTGGAAGAGTGCGACGTTTATTCAACGTTTATCTTGAAAATCTATTTGAAAAGCAATGTAACCATAAGTTGCTAAACTCTGAAAATCAATTGTAATGGGGTAAAATGTCGATTCCACTGAACTGACATCGTATAAAAATTTTGTTTAAAGCAGGTCATGTTTTATATTCACGGTCTACTACCGGAAAGATTCTCGCCCTCGTAGGGTATTCACATCTGAACTTCCTATATTCGCGACATGTGCGTGAAACTTAAGAACGCATTTTTTGGTCTCAGCTCATTTTTGATCCAGCAATAGATTTTACTGGTCTCAGATCTCACTTACTGATTATACATACGCTCCTATTTAGCAGACAGTATAAAAGTGTGCCTACTTCTCTGCCGTCAAATAAACTCTATTGAGACCTCACAGGTGTACGCAAGAATATAATATGCCCAAACTGTAAGCGTCGGCTAGCGGATTTTCCCAAAAGTTAGCAGGAATGGAAAAAAAATGGGTAATGGAGTGATGGGGCGAAGTAAATGGACTATACCTTTCAACAAGGGCCCCCTCAAAATCAACCGCGCGGGGATCAATTGAGTAGATAAGATATTCTAACACTGACATTCAAAGAATAGATTTCAAGACAGTTACCTAAGCCTGGACTAAGAGTGCCACATAGACCTTTGAATGTTATGTACACGAAAAGTACGGTCTCTACTTTTCGTACACACCACTTCCCGTGTCAGTTTTGTTTCCGCTGATTTCTTTTACTCGCCGAAAAAGGATGGAGTACCCGTAATCTACTTTTACCATAAGATCGCTTTAATAGGTTACCAGTCGTTTCGTACCCAGCCAGGTCAATTCGTACCCGGTTAGTTGGGTTATTTCGAACCAAAAGTAATAAAGCATGTTTTATATCTTAAGTATCTTTAAAGTAAGGTCGGTCTCTTATTTTAAATAGCAATATTCCCTGCGTTAAATAAGTTTTGTTTCCGTGGCGTCAACTTTAATTTACGCGACTTGTGAATATTTTTTGTTTTCCTTTGTTAGAATAAGCGAATTTATTACCTTTAATAACAAGGAGAAGCAAAACATTACCCTAGTTGTTATTGTTAACAAAGTCACAAGTGCAAACAATAGACTGTTTTATCAAAAAAAAATACATAAATTAAGAGGAGAGATATCTTATGCTAAAACATCAACATACCGAGAAAAACGATACTTATCTATACTTTAAAACCTAATTTTGGTTGACGGTAACCATAGCTGATGATAAACATTTCAGTATTTACCGGACTTGCTAACGCATCCCAGGAGTTTGATAACATAAAAATGAGGTTTAAGTTGTTTCATCAATTCAAGTTAATAATAATAATAAGTCTTTATTAAGCACTCTAAACAACAAACGTGTTTAGTTACAATGATATGAAATCAGCAAGTATAAAACTAATAAACTAACTAAATTACTAACTGAATAACTAATAAGAGAACAAACATCTATTAATAAAGGTCCTTTTGAAACGTTCAGTTCTGACAAGCGGGAGAATATAATTATGGCGCCTCTTACGTAGCGTATCCATTGTTCGCTCTGGTGGCAAAAGGTCATCTAAAGCTGTTGGAAAATCGCTGTCGGTGATCTTGGCCCACAACTTCTTATCTTTTAGAATGATAATATTTTCAATCGAAAAAAGCTCTTTACAGTAGCCAAGCTTAAAAGCTCTCTTGAACAGCCTGTCTATGCGACTCAGATACTTATGATAATACGCGCAGCCCCATACTTCTACAGCATATGTAAATATAGGTAGAATAAGACTGATAAAGAGAAGATGAAGATGATCCAGCGGCAGTCCATAGAATTTACAAACACGTAAGATGTACAGACGACTACTGGCTTTCGATATAATATTATCAAAATGTAAGTCCCAGTTACACGGATCAGATTGAAAAGTTACACCCAACAACTTCAGACATGGTTTACGCTCTATAGAAACCAGAGGAGCAGGTAAGGCCTTAGTGGATTTGGATTTGCCTCTAAGAAGCATCTCCCACGTTTTCTTGAAGTTTATTTGCATACGATTAGCAGATGTCCATGCGACGATCGATCGGACCTCCTCAGCTGCTAAATTGCCGTTATTAGCCAGCGATTTTACTGGAATACTTAATGTTAAATCATCAGCATATTTCACAAGTAAATTCTGATTTGGTAGAATGGCCTTAATATCATTGACCATAATAGAAAATAGTATAGGGCCTAAAACTGTCCCCTGAGGGACACCTCTATTGATATTTACATAGTCCGTGACAATGGCATCAACAACAACTCTTTGTTTCCTGTTCTGTAAAAACTAATAATCCAATTGGTCACGTATGGATTTATATCAAGTGTTTTCAACTTAGAGCAGAGGATATCATGAGGGACCGAATCAAAAGCTTTGCTGAAATCAAGAGAAGATTCTAACACAATCAAAACCCGACTCAAGCCATTTCAGCCAAGCATATTGACACTTAATTAAGGCCATTGTCGTATTGTGGCCTTTGCGGTATGCAAACTGGTCGAAGCTAATGAAGTTCTTCATATATTGAGATAATTCTTGTCTGTATACAAGACGTTCAAAAACCCTCATTATTACATTAGTCAGCGAAATAGGCCGCAACTGTGTGCAATTTTTAAAGTTGGGCTCTTTAGGCAAGGGAGTTATGTCGGCCAATTTCCAAAGATCAGGCACAATGTGATTTTCCAAAGAACAGTTGAAAATATGGGTAACAACAGGAGCGAGGTCGTACGCAAACTCTTTCCAAAACCAGTACGGGATTCCATCTGGACCAGAGGCAGTTCTTTTTAATTTCAGTAGACTCCTGGTAACACTGGAGACCGTTAAAACAGGCATCTCGCTTGATTCCGGGATAGTGACAGTGTCAATGGGTTTATAAAGGGGATCAGTGTTAATGGAACAGAAAAAATTATTGATCTCGCTCGGGGAGATAATTGAGCTTACTTGCGAGTTGGTAGACTTCCTTCCTGTCAGGGAATTGACTGTTGACCACCAAGATTTGGATCCTGCACTATGTTTCTCAAAATTCCCTTTAACTGCTCGAACTTGATTATCTCTGATCAACTTGTTGATTTTTCTCTTGAAGAGTTTGGATCTCAATCGAAACAGAATTTCCTGACATGTTACTTCGCCGAATCAATTTTCGCCGTTGGTCCAGTAGATGTTTGATTAGAGGAGAAAAGAACGGAGGGTCCCTATTAGACACACGTACTGATATACCCGGAAAACACTCATCAAACATGGTCTTAATCTTGGTACAAAAAAAGATTAAGTTTTCCATTCACATCTCCGCATTGATAAACATTGTCCCAGTTATGAAACTTCAACAGTTTATCCATATCCAGTTTATGATGATCACGAACATCTCTGAACATCACAGTTTTCCTTTCAGCCTTAAGTGGGATTCTGGGATATACCAGGACCACAGAGTGGTCAGATCGAACTAGTCCTTGAGTGACCGATACTTTCCTCCAAAAATGTGGGACGTTAGTAATCAAAACATCCAAAATTTTGTTCTTTCTTGTCGGTGTATTTACCATCTGGAATAAATTTAGTTGTGTAAGAAAATCATTGTAATCTAGCTGATTGAGGTCACCACAAATTATAAGGTTGCTGTTAGGATTACCAGTCAATAAATGATCACAACTATTTGTTAGATGTTCCAATAAATCATCAGGACAATATGGCAGATCTGGAGGATGATAAACAGCAGCCACATAAAAGCTTGAGTTGGGAGTTGTAATTTTAGCCCACAAACATTCAAAGGCATTATAAAAACGCTGTCTAATCGTTCCAACAACCAATCGCTCCTACAGACAATAGCAACACCACCGCCTGACCGGTCAGTTCTATCCTTTCGCAAAATTGAGTAACCCTTCGGACAAACGAGATGAGATGGAAAATTTGGTTTAAGCCATGTCTCGGAGATGATGCAAATATCGCAGTTGTTTGAGTGCAATTCCATATGCAAAGCAGAAGCAGCATCAACTTTCACAAGTGATCTTGCATTAATGACCATACATTTGGGGATTATTCGGGGTAAAGAAGAAGAGTGAGTAGAAATGAAATGCAAATTTGTATCCTTGGGTCGAAGTCGTGCGCGTTTGGTCGTTGATAAAAAAAACAGTGGTCAGTGACACGAACTGGAATCTTGTGATGTTGTTGACGAGATCCAAATCTAGAATTAACACCAGCTCTACGACCTCTAGCTCTATAAATTCCCAATGACTTTAAGCGATGAATAAGATAATAATCCAGTTTAACCTTAGGACAACAGGGGCGAAGTTGAAATAAATTACGTCGACTGAAAGAAAATCTAGGTCTTGAAGTTTGAAGTGAAGCAGTCGGCATGTAGTTAAAATTTTCCGGACCCGGGTTAATTTCAACATCCACTGCAATAGATAGGTCCTTGATGAAACCTCTTTCAGACAGAGCAGCAACCGTCGAACCATGCTTTGACCATTTGGTGATCGGTAACTTAGTTGAGCGTCTTGCAACAGCAAGGTCTTGACCGCAGCGAGAAGCAGAAAATAGCTTTCGACTGACGCTAAAAGGGCCTTTAAAGGTAGATGGAGGCGAACAGATTGAATTGTGCTTGTCAAGATACTGAACGAACAAGGTAACAAAGCACAAAAGCTTAAAAAAACAACAACGACGACAGTAAGCGGCAGCCATCTTGGCGCACATACATTAATTTCAGTTCAGACAACAAATCCTTTCTCTCTGATACA